AAAATACTCTATGTTGGCAGAGTTCAGACGGGATTTGTTTGAAATTTTTTTTCGTATTTTAAGAAAAAATCAATTACAATTTTGAGGAGGGTTGTTGGTTGAGGCGTGACGTCATTTTGGAGGGGAAGTCTAGCTTTTTGTGACGATGTGTGACGGTGGGGAGGGGAGAGGTAAAAATCGTCAAAAAAAGCGTGACGTCATTTATGGATGGCCACTCTAAAAATCAATATATTTCAATTAAAAATAAAATAACTTAAATTAAAACAACATTGATATTTTAGAAGTCGATATTCATGTCTGTCGGGTTTAAATAGACGTAAGGCAGATACACTCATTACATATAACCAGAGATGAATATAGCGTTAGAAATTCAATGTTTACATTATTTAAACTTATTTTAAATACGGACAGCATACACAGTCATGACAAATTTGAAACAAAAATTAAAATTCATAACAATCTACAAAATTTTCTTAGATTTTAAACAACTACTAACATTTGTATGTGCACTTCGGTAGTGGAAATGCATTAGACCATTGCCACGGGGCTGGCCACAGCACAGTTGTGGGGCTGGGCCTAATGCCCAGAAGATTAGCGTTTCATCTCTTACATTGTGCTGTAAAAAATTATAACTTATAATTAGATCACTGTCTCTTTACCTGTCCGAAAGTCTTGTCTTAACATTATAATTATCATATAGTCCCGAGGACGAATAAAACATTCATCTATACAGGATATACACTAAGCCTAATGCTCAGCGGCTGTCAACTGTCCATATACGTTATACGCTCTACTCCACCTATTCGCATTGTTTTTTATTTTGTTTAAAGTTGTTTGTGTTTCCAAAGTATAATATTTTTTTTTGAGTTTTTATAATAAAAGAATATAATTATTTTGTAGCTGGAGAGCCGCATATTGACTCCAAAAGATTGGCTGGGTAACCCAGGTTAGGAAAAAAAAGCTGCTGGGTATCACACTGTAATCGAGGTTAGAAAATAAAGGAGGCTGGGTATAATGCTTTGCTTCATGCATTTGTTATTTTTAAAAAATTGAACGTTATTATTATTGTCCACAATCATCCGAATTGAAATGGAAGTCTTCTTTAAGGTATTCTATTAGGTTTGCAAATACGGGTAATAATGTATAGCATAATTATTTGAAACGTTTGGAAAATAGAAATATTTAGTAATACAGTTTCTTTCCTATTTTGTAATTTTAAAAAAAATTAATGGAAACAACTTACACATTTGTTGTTAAAATGATTTACAATAGAAATACATTAAATTGTAATAAAAGAAAAAAAAAATGTTGTATTTTTAAATTAAAATACCGCAATTGTCAAAATTTATTAAATAAGTAGTTTTATATGTTTAAATTTTAGAAAATGTAATTTTATCTGTTTATAGCAGAACATAAACAAATAAAAAATAATTATTTTAAAAATAAGGAAAGATACCTTTAAACAATACTAGTCACTTCTTGATATTTTCCTATTTTTCTTGGTACCCCAAAAAAGTATTTTTTATTTAAATACTGCATGGGTACTAAAGTAGTCAAAACATTTTTACTTTTATAGCCGATTTAAGCAACATGAATAGTAAAGTTCCATTTTCAAACCTAACGGTTTCTGTGGCCTCGGCATATGAAGGGATAGTGTGATTACCACTATGTCCAGCCGCCTTTAGTTTCACTAACGTGAGTTAGGTACCCATCAGAGTTGGGTGGGATCAGTAATGGTCTACTAACTTAAACCCGGATTCGAACTCGAGACTTACGGGTTAGCAGTCCTGCTCTCTACTGCTAGACCACTCCGTTCCATTAGCATGAATCACTGGATTATAAAGGTGGACTGCACTTTTATGAATGTACACTAGAAAATCGTCCCGCGAATTAAGCAACACATCAACATTGTTCTAAATATAATGTACACAAGCTGAGAACTGATTCTCAGACCTTACTGAAATAAGAAAGACATGCCTTGAAAACCGCATGCAACTCGCGAACCACAAGTTGCCGACCCCTGCGAGCGAGTAATTTGGTTAACACAAGAAATTTTGTACAAAAATTTTGAGTAACAATATACTGTATCTAACGTATTGATTAAAAATAAGGAATTCGTTTCATTAAAGCGAAGTTATCTTACATAATTATAAGTTCTGTAATTTAATTAGGGATACTTGTTTTCTATGAATATGATAAACTTTTAAAGGCAGACAAAATTAATACATAACGTTTATTAACACTTATAGAAAAGAAAACAAAATCAACAAAGATTTACATAATTATTTTATTTCTACTGGGGTATTGGTATTTTTGTCAATTTGATAACATACTTTTAAGTTGTTTCCCTTATTTATTTTTTTTACACTATTATATAGGAAATAACAAAAAGAAACCCATATAATACCGATCTATCAAGTTGCAACATTGCTGTGTCGTATAGAACATGGGACGGCAACGTGCGGCTCATTTTGATGTCGAGATGCGGCTCTTCAGCTCCATGCACAAATATTAATAATTATTTTATTTTATTTTTAAAACTAATAAAAATATTGTTCTGCAACACTCGGTAATAAACGATATAATAATAAATATAAACAATAAACACTAGCTATTCTATTAGAATATTAACTACTCCCTATTTCAATATACTTCCTATTAAATTGTCCAACCCAAATTTAAACATTCAACTTCATGGCCGATGTCACAAAGAAACTAAACGAGCTAAATGTAAAACTACAAAGAAATGATAACTCAGCAAATGCCTTGCTTGAAGACGTGGTTTGTTTAGGGAAAAAAAAAATTACTTTATTTTGGTGAAGACACCGAGAGCGGTAAATTAGACCTACTTTATTTCGAAAAATCTGAAAAAAATATCGTGATAAAACCAACGCTACTATTAACATGAATTACTTCATCATTACTAAAAACAAATTGAATGATGAGTTCTCTGAGACATTTGAGCAATTCAAAAGAAATGCAAGTACTCTGACTTTCGTAGTAGATCCTCTCAACACAAAAACAAATGAGATTAACTTTGAGCTATTTGGAATTGATGCTGGCTCGCTTCAAATGAAATTGCTAGATTTGAAAACCAAAATTTGTGGAGCGGTAAGTTCATAGATATCAAGAGCAAGTTAGATGATTTAGAGGTCCAGTAAAACATGCACGTTTCATTGTACAACTGTCTTGCAAATAGTCTTGCAGGATGCTACAGTAAGGCGAAGACGTTGGCATTTGGAGTGCTGACGATCTTCGGGTCAACATATTCATGCGAGTAAGTTTTCTTTCATAAATATAATAAAAAGTAAAGAAGCCAACTAACAAATAAAATCTGAAGGAATGCGTGAAAAAAAAAAGTTCTGAGCCAGGTTTAAACACACTTTCAAAAGGCATGCAAGGCCAAACTATTGTAAATAGTATTCAATAATTAAAGTTATGTAATGTGATTACTGGTTTTATTATTCTAGCAGAGCTAGATAAAATACGTGAATATTTGTTCTGCGAAACATGTGTATGTTTTTATATGAATAAATATTATTTCATATTTAAATCTATTTAAAATTGTATATATATATATATATATATATATATATATATATATATATGGTTAAATGCTAGGATTAGTGTTTTACTATTTATGTTAGAATTAAACCAGGGACAAAGTTGGCTAACTTAACGTTTTGTGTTAGATTTACTGTATGTTCTTACCTCAGTGTATAGCTTGTATGAAGTAATGTGCTATTTATCATCGGGACATATGATAATTCTAATGTTTAGACACGGCCAGTGTTTCTTCCAGACGTTTTTTCTCCGGGGGTGGGGGGGGGGGGAAGGGCACTTGAAATTTATCGGGGGTGGTAGACTTTCTTCGGGGGGGGGGGGGGCGGACACTGTTAATTGTATATATTTTCTATATAAATTATATAAATTTCATTTCGTTAGGGGGGGATGCCTGGAAGAAACTCTGGACACGGCCTACAGACATGCACAGAGGTAGTGACCTAATCATGAGTTTTTATTTTCAGAGCACATGTGAATGATGAAATGGTATTATTCTTTTATGATCGGTGTTCAATAATCAGGGAAATATTGTGACCATACTGTAATTTTTTTACCTAATTATAGGGACGATGGGTTATTATAAATATACATATAATAATTAATATTTTTTAACCTTATAGACAAAGTCACATATTTTAAAATTACGTGCACGTACCCTGACGACTTACCCGCATACCTAACTTTTAGTGACTAGTCACACTTTTATATACACACGCAAAATGCGTACTCACTACATTATCTCTCTTATCAGGCAGGCTATAATTTTAAAAAGCCAAATACTTAATTAATATGGGATGGTCAACATTTGTAAATCATTTTTACTATGGACAAACTATTAATAATTTGATATTAACATGCAATTTTATGTTTATGATTTTAACACAATAATCAAACAAACTTTTCGTACTAAAATAAAAATAAAAGTTATTGAACATTAACTGAATATCTTCAAGATTAACAAAATCTAATTAATTTAAAATTAAATTAGCTCACTTTCACTATTTGAAGAGTAAAATCGACAGTTAGAAAGTTTAGTGATTAGTTGAAAGTATAAAATTTAAAAAAAAAACATCTACCAATTATGTTTTACATCAATAATTTGAAACAAATACATACTCTTTCATTTTCTTATGAATAGTTCTTATAGTGTTAATATCACACTTTGCTGTCCTATAGTCATGTTGCATGTACGTATAGTATAAGCATGAATTGTACTACAGTACTGTTGTAACTGGATATAGTTAAATATTTTTTGTATCAGTTACTTCCCATCTAAATATGTTTAAATACATAAGGGAAACCATTTTGAACTTTTATATCAAAATTATATAAAACCGATACCCCAGTTGTAGTAAAACAATTAAGTAAATCCTTATTCATTTTATTTATTATTATTGCAACAAAATAATATTTAAAATGTAACAAATTTTCTAGAGCTAATAGTTTATTACACCAAGCAAGCCTTTGATGTCTAAGTAGTTGGCAGCCAAAATCAACTCAAACAAGGTGCCCTGGTCAACTTTAAGAAATTCTGTATCCCAGGAGCAAACATCATCTGTTCTTTTTTCTTTGTTTTCATCATCTTCAGGTGGTGGAGGGTCATCTCGATGGAAGATACACCATTGAATTACCTTCTTTAATATAGCAGCATTAACATTAGGTAGTGGAACAGGTTCATCTTCATCCTCATCCATACCCAAATCTTCTAACATGGTTTTAACAGTGACAGATTGTTTAGCAATCTCAACATTTATTTATTTTACAATTGATATTATATTCAAATGTAAAAGGGTAAATAAAGGGTGATTCAATGATAGAAGGGTATTTATTTTCTTTTTCATTGTTACATTGTGAGAAAATGTCCCTACTTGTTTTTTTTTTTTTTTTTTTTTTTTTGCCTCAGACCTGTAGTTTACATTGTCAGTTTGCCTCGTCATGTTCGCTTGATTATTACAGTTTTCATCCTCGGCTTGTGAGGACAGATACAGATTAACAATCATAATACTTACTTCTGACTCTCCTTCATTTTAGATGGTTTACATAATACAAAACGTCTTATTACAATCTTGTTTTTAAACGTGAAAATACAAATTTGTAATTTAATGGTGATTCAATGGATTGTTTTTATCGGCATGGTGGTTTGAGGGGGTTTAAACTTTTAAGTGTAGATGAAAGAAATTTGGGTTTAAAAAAAAAATAACGTAAATATTATAAGAAGCCGGAATATTTTCGGTACAATCAAACACTTCAAACATTCTTCATTTTCAAACATGTCTATAGCTGTTCTTCCACATGTTTAAATCAATTTATCTTAAATGTATTGATGAAATACAAATACAAAATACGATTTTTGTACCAGCCAACAACCTAGATGCTGCGATTTGACGCCAAAGTTGAAAGTTTTAAAAAATGTTTACTTTTAAAATGTGTATCCAATGATTTCAATTTGTAAATTTTAAATTACCAGGGGAGGCTACACAACTAGATACTTAAAAGTATGTAAAATATATATTTTATAGACTGAACACAAAGAAACATACAAAAACAATGTCATTAATAATATTTTTAATAACATTAGTTAGAAAACAATATTTTTTAACAATTCGTGTACTTTGCAAAAAATTTTTTTTTATCCTAAATTAAAAATAAAAAACCTGTAGTTTTATGAGGTAAAATCAAATTTATATTAGACAAACTTATATGTAACAAGGCTCGTCTCGATAGTGTTTTTGGTCAACTATATAAGTGGATAAAAAAAATTAGATTAAAAGTAGTTTCTCGTACTTTACAGCAGATCAAAGTTTAGAATCTAGCATAGGACTAGATCAGGGGTCGGCAACCTTTTAAGACTAAAGAGCCAAAAGTTAAAATTTTCAAAATGTCCCAGTTATTAAAGAGCCACTAACATTTTTATTTTAATATTTGATTAGGACTAGGTAAATAAGTGTGATTTGTTATTTAAAATAAATAGCTATAAATATGAAATAATATTTATTCATATAAAAACACATGTTTCGCAGTAATAATGAGTTTAGTAATCAAATTATATAACTGTACGACTATCCCAATCCTCTTGAGAAGAAGTTAACTTTTTTTTTTCTTTCTTTAAAGTAAAGACATCACCGGCAGGGGACGTGTCTGCCATTAGCCAGTCAGGCCTCAACACGGCTAATTTTGACTAACTGGTTTGAATATCGGTTTGATAACAGTGTATCGGTCGCTTCTGTCCTTTGTTTCTCATCAGGCCTATCTTCAGAGGCGTAGCGAGGGGGGGGGGGCGGGGGTGCGGACCGCACCGGGTGACACCATTTAGGGGGTGACACCAAGGCAAAAAATTAGTAAAATGTATAGAGAAAAATTTGAGGGGGGGGATGCAAATCGAAAGTTTGAGGGGGTGCAAATCGAAAGCTCGAGGGGGGGGTGCAAAAATCGAAAATTGAAAGTTTGTCCCTGGGAAGAGTCGCTACGCCTCTGAGGGGGTGACACCATTAAGTGCCGCACCGGGTGACACCCTACCTCGCTACGCCACTGCCTATCTTCCACCCCACAGAGCCCAGGGTAAAATCGTACCCCACCGTCCTGTACCCGGCTCAACAGTAGGAACCTAATAGCTTAAAAGACAACTACGTCACTCAGGTCAAATTAATGATTACTTCATAGGGAAATGCATTCTGAATAAAATAGTATTTTTGTTTTATCTTTGTGAATTTCGGAAACAAATTCCAGCTAACCAAATATTGTAAACAACATAACGGCTAACAACTACATGTAAATTTAAAGTTGTCACTTATCTATTATATTTCCTAAGGTCGATATTTGGTAATACCTGTCTGACATCGGAAAAAATGCACTTTTAAAAATGTATTTTCTATCTACAACTTAGATACAGCATCACAGGAAGAAACAACCAAAATACACCAATTTAAACCAAATTATCGAATTTTGTTTTACAATAAAAATGTTATATATTCGTCAGCGTTTTCAAATAATTTTAGGTTTTTTTTTTCGTTTTTAAGTTTTCAAGCAGGGTTTTCTTCATGTACAAATAATATAATGCATTGTGTACACAGAAAAAAAAAAAAAAATAGCAAATTAGTTTGACGAATCTTACATGAGTTAATTGAAGATTTATGAAAAATTAATACATGTCGTCATTTAGGGGTGAGGGTCTAGTCTTTTTTGAGTCATCAAAAAAGCATGCCGTCATTTATGAATGCCCCTGAAATCAGAAGTAAAAATAAACGTAATTGACCCACCCCACTTTAATTGTGATTATGTTAACATATATATATATATATATATATATATATATATATATATATATATATATATATATATATATATATATATATATATATATATATATCACACAACAACTTCTTTTTTATCATTTTTTTTGTATTAGCCATTACATAAACTGTAAGCCTTATCATGTACCCCGGTAACACAGTAAGCTACTGGTTTAAAAAGGATGAACTGTTTGAAAATCTTAACGCCTTGGACTTTTTTGTGAAATATACATTTAGAAGTAGACGATTTCTGATTTCAGTTGATCAATCAGATTTGCTAATTACTTTGTAAATTCATTTTTTTTTTTAAATATTTTATGAGAGTAACAATGTTTAAAATTAGGATTAATGTATAATGTGTCTTCCATTACTGATATTTAGAACAATATTAAAAGTATTATTGTTTATAAACATCCAATTTAAAGTGGAACTCTACTTTAAGGCAATCTTGTAGACTTTAAAAGGTGTTTTGCAAGTTTTAGAACATACTAGAATACCCGTCATCCGTTGGATAACTGTGGGTTTCGGGGGTCATCCATCAAAAAACATCACGTCTGTCACTCAGAGGAATAGCGACCCTTCCCGGCGCCCGGGGACAAACTTTTCGATTTTAAACCCCCCCCCCCCCCCAAGATTTCGATTTTCAACCCCCCTCGAACTTTTTATGTGCACCCCCCCCCCACTCAAACTTTCGATTTGAACCCCCCTCAACCTTTCAATTTATTTTCCCAAACCATTTTGGCGCCCCAACATATGTCCCCCCCGCCCCCCCCTCCACCTCCCCCCGCCTCCCCTCCCCTTCCCCCCCCCCGCCTCCCCTCCCGCCCCCCCCCCTCCTCGCTACGCTACTGCAGTGTCACTTATCGTCACAAAAAACAGACCCCACATTCAAAAATATGTTTCTTATCTTTTAAAAACACCGAAAACACCGATTTCGGACTATCCCTTCATATACTGACGTCACATGTGACCTACTCAACTCTACTTCACCTGCCCAGTGTCCCGCCAAGTCTCAGACAACATGTTTAAAAAACGATTCCAGCCGAGCATGTCTCTGACCACACTATCCTTTCATATGCTTAGGACAAAGAAACAGATGAACTCTACTTCACCTGCCCTGTATCCTGCCAAGTTCAGATAGACAACTTTATCATTCACATCTAAAAAAAAAAAAAATTTAAAAAAATATATCATTGACATATTGGTCTAGAACCTGTACCACCCGCATGAGAGCGGACTACGCTACCAACTTAGCTATTTACTCGTGACGACACAAATGAATTTTTATACTATACAATGAGTCTCCTTATCCAACTTTATTTACGCGCGTAGATCTAGAACTAAGTCTAGTAGCAGCAACTTTCAAATTAAATTTTATCTTAACTTAGCCAAACAAAGATTTATATAAAATAAAGAAGGTCTGAAATTATCTAGAAAAAATCTAGATCTAGATAGAATTATCTTGATCTAGATTCTACGACTCGTTTGCTTAAGTCTTAAGTTTAGTTTTTCTTGCTAGATCTAGAATCTAGATCTAATCATTAGCTACGCTCATAGGCCCGGAGCGAGCATTTCAAAATTACCATATTCCAAACAAAGATTTATATAAAATAATAAAGGTCTAAAATAGTTTAGTATATAGAAAATCATTATTAACTAAATCTAGATAGAAAATTATCTATATTTTAGATCTACGACTGAGCTATATTTAGAATTTACGTTTATAATTTAGCAAACTTACCGGCATCGAAGCCGCGTATGAATCTTAAGCTACGCCAATAGGCCCGGATCCAGCATTTCAAAATTTGCATATTCGAAACAAAGATTTATACAAAATAATAAATATTTTAGTATATTGAAACTCATTATTATCTAAATCTAGATAGAATTATCTATATTTTAGATCTACGACTGGTTTGCTTAAGTCTTAAGTTTAGTTTTTCTTGCTAGATCTAGAATCTAGGTCTAGATCTAATCATTAGCTACGCTCATACATAGTCATAGGCCCGGAGCGAGCATTTCAAAATTACCATATTCCAAACAAAGATTTATATAAAATAATAAAGGTTTAAAATAGTTTAGTATATAGAAACTCACTATTATCTAGTCATTATCTAGATCTAAATCTAGATAGAATTATCTATATTCTAGATCTACGACTGGTTTGCTTAAGTCTCGTTTTTTTTGGATTGTATTTATTTATAACTATTAAATCTTTGATTTGACCTAGATCTAGATTCTAGATCTAGATCTATAAATAACTTTCTTGGACAAATTTTAGATCTAGAGAAATTTATCGTAAAACTAAATGAAAAAGACAGTTGAAAATTGATATAAGTGTTGGAACGTAATAAATACAGCAAACGGACGTATTGTTAAAGTTATGACCCACAGAAAATTAGATTTAGAACGCGTTAAACTTGTGAATGGGAACACAATTTTCTTCGATAGACGCCGCCATTTTATT